TCTGCCTTTAATACGCGGCCCAGTACACCTCAGTGTTTCACTACTTTTTAACCTTCAACGCTTCAACGTTTTGGTTGCGTAACCTCTTCCTACAGCGTCGTTTTCGTGCTGCCAGAATGCACGGCCCATGGCTAGGAGAAGCTTTTTCTATACCGCTCCACTGCATTTTTAGTTTTCGTATACAACGAGGTTGCACCGCTTCAGCTTCGGCATCAATTTCTATTCGCATTCTTACACAGCATTGCTACAACCCATCAAATGGATCCTACACAACGAACATCCGCACGTCAGCAACTGAAGACCCCTAATACCGTTAAAGTTGCACATGCAGAACAGGCAACTGCGGAGGATCACATAATAACTCCGGTTACAGATGATCATATAGCGTCTACTTCAACCTCTTTTGCTAACTGTTCTTAAACGTAAAAGAAATACTTTCAATTCATCCTTGACCTTGTGCCAGGCTCTAGCTCACCTTAAGAAGCAGGCGGACCGAGAGGCAGATTATGGATTGGAAAGAATAAATGCTCGCTTATAAGCTTGCCATTATTTATTTTTCTATTTCGGTGCTGATTACCGGCAGTAACAATTCCTTATATTGTTTTGCGTTTCTTTTTTTCCCGGCGACGCTTTTCCCTGGGTCTGCAATCTTTAGTACAATTAGTAACCAGCGCGCCAATTCGTATTGTTTCTTTTGCATTTGCGAATCAGATTTGAAACTGTTTTTCATTCCTTCTTTTTTCTACCAACAGCAAATACATTAGCATTGGGAATTCTATGAACGCAAACTTTTTCTTGGGGGCAAATGTATTCTTTCGATTTCGTTGTTTGACATGGAAACTGCTACTTTTTTTTTTTTTACACTGTCATATATATATATATATATGTATATATATATATATATATATATATATATATATATGACAGTGTATATATGTATATGTCTGTAGGAAAATGTCTGCAAAAGAAATGAATTGCCATTAACGATGCGAAAATATTTTCTTGATTATCGTGCAGACACTAAATATGCCTCATTTACAGTTCATGCGTGACTCAATATACAAAACATCGGATATAGCTGCACCGTAATATATTCATCGAAATCGCGGAATCAAGGCGGATGACGTGATCAAAGACAAGACAACATCGCCGAGAAAAGACGCTGATGTCGACTCAGCCAACAGACTACGAACAAAGACCTCGCGCCAACATCATCTTTTAGGTCCTCTCTATTCTACAGCCCAGTTCTTAGGAACGAGAATCACGATAACAAACGAGGTCGGACGATTTGAAATTAAGAACTTCTGTTTAATAGATTATGCAAAATCGTTTGATAAATTACTTCACAAAGAACTATTTCAACTGCTAGATAACCTTGACATATTTTGGAAGGATATTAGAAAAAAAAAACAGGACCTATACTAGCAGCCAACCGCCTGCATAAGGATAGAAAATTAATTCAATAAATATAAAAAATAAAATAAAAAAGAGTGTAAGACAAGGATGTGTCCTCTCACCGGACTTATTCAACCGATACAATGAGACGATTATTAGAAGATCGACCAGAATTCATTATAGACAGCAAAGATTTTAACAACGTAAGTTATGCAAGTGACACAGTGTCGATAGCAGACACAGAAAGGAAACTAGAAAATCCCTTAGAAAGGGTGGAGAAGTCAACAGAGAAGAAAGAACGAAACATCAATTGAAAGAAGACAGTATATATGGTTATCACCAAACGGAAGGGTCCAACAAACAAATTACAAATTAAAAATACGAAAACCAAGCAAGCCTATCTAATTAAATATTTGTGAATTATTTTAAAAGAGGGTGAAAAGTGTGACGCTGAAATCCGAAGGCGCATTTGGGATACCAAAATACGCCATATAAAAGCGAAGTAAACTATAAAGAAACAGAAAAAATCGTTAGAAACAAAGAAACGAGTACTGATCTATTATTTAATATCAGTCCTCCCATATGGCAGTTAATGTTGGATAATCTCCTTCCAGATAAACTAGAGACTTAAACCAACAGAAATCTGGTTCTACAGAAGGATTCTGAGGATACCATGGACCGAGCAACAAAGTTTTAGAGAAAATGGAAACAAGTTGGACACTTATATTTAACATCAGGAAGAGACAGTTGACATTTCATGAGTGCATAATGAGGAAAGAGAGCTTGGAAAATTTGATACTCAAAGGGCAGTTTGAAGGCAAGACGGAAAGAGTAACGCAACGTATAACCTATTTAACAAGCTTGAGTAAATGGATGGCAGATCAAGGTTTAGGAGAGATAACAAAAAGAGAAATTATGAAGAGCTACAAAGGAGCGGAAATTGTGGAGATTCATGATCGCCAACGTTCTGAAGAAGAAGAAGAAGAAGAAGAAGAAGACGAAGAAGAAGAAGAAGAAAAAAGAAGAAAAGAAGACGAAGAAGAAGACGACGAAGAAAAAAAGAAGAAAAAAGAAGACGAAGAAGAAGAAGAAGAAGAAAAAAAGAAGAAGAAAAGAAGACGAAGAAGAAGACGAAGAAGAAGGAAAAAAGAAGACCTGTTATACTATCTTCATGTCTATCACACCCACAGATTAATAACAAACAAAATTTTTTTGATATCTTTCTAAACGTGATTAGGCCGAGCGTTACATGTGCAGTCACTTATGAATGGAAAATTAAAACGGTAATAAAATGAATCAATACTAGATATCTCTAAACATTTATCAAAAAACGCCTGCCATAATGAAAAAAAGGCTCTAAACTTGATAGAAACAAAGCTTTATGGTAAAAATGTTTATTTTGTTATGAGGAGGAATGATCAAATACATTTTATTATTCTTTTAATGGTGTCTAGCACGTTCGAAATTTTGATTAAAATATTTGGTTAGGTTGATCAACGATTATTACTGGAAATTTTAACCACCTTTTTGACTTTAAAAACTACATTGTATAGGAAATTATCATAAAAATCGAAAAATTGTTGAAGTTTAATTAAATTTTCAAGACTTACTCACAAATGAATAAAATTAATTTTATAATTTATTTTTTTTTTTAGAAAATTTTAAAGAAAATATTTTTTACGTTACCTCACTTAATTTTATGAAATTTCAAGAAATTAAAATTTCAGCCTCTTCATATTTATGTTAATTAAAAGCAGGACTCTTTGGCGACATCATGTTCGTCTGTGTCAAACAGAAACTCTATATACCGAAAACATGCTCTGAATCGTAAACAAATGCAATAAAATTATGCCATTATCTAATTAGGAAAGTTTTTAATTACTTTTATAAATTGTCTTAAGAAAAAAGATTTCGAGGAAAAATGAATTTTACAAGAATTGTTTTCATTTTTTCAATTTTAATTAGAAAAAATTATTAAGTTTTAAATCTTTTAAAGTTCTGTATTAATTTCAGCTTATTAGTTGATATTTTTATTAAGTGAAAACTATATTTACTAGTAATAAATTGAAAAACTTAATATAAATCATCAAATACCAACATTTTTTTTAAATAATTTTAATTGTTTTATGTTTATAAACATGCCGATACACGTCATTGAGAGATAAGAAGAGCGATAACTATAGTAAATTTAAAATCAACATTTCTAAAATTCAATAAAACATTACGGTGAATATTTTCTTAGAGCACTTAAAATTATATAAAAAAGGCGCTCAGGTTTTTTTCTTCAATTATGTTTTACAGATAATGTGCCTGTAAAACAACATTCTCTCTGTCATCGGGCTATCAACAAGACAAGACAGCTACTGTCGGGTTAAAAACACAGAGTTAAGAAACGCATTTCTGTGATATATTAATATTAAAGTAAGTAATATTTGTTTCAAATCAGATTAATTATACTTTAAATCAGCCAATGTTTCTCAAATAAAATTTCAGAAAAGTATATTTTATTTTTGTAAAATGTTTTCATTAACAGAATTACATTGCAATGAAAGACGACGAAAAACAGCGCCAATCAGCTGTTTTTTGGGGTTTTAAACATCTTCAGATAATTTAAATTAGTTTTTGAATACAGCAAATTATTTTTCCTTATTGGAAGTCTAATCTATTAGCTTGAAATTGAAACTAATATAAAAGCTTCAAGAAAGATTTTTCATTTTAAAAAATTCATTTTAATCCTTAGGCATCCCGTTTTTTGTGGAGGTCCTTAATAAGTACTTTAAAAGAACGAAAGAAAATATATACACCAATCACCAAAAGTAATAATGAAGATTTTTTAATTATGGGCATATGTTTGGTCCATTTTTTGGGATCTGTATTAACGCGCCAAGTGCAAGAGTATAATCATCCACAGAATCTTTTCGAAATGAAGAACCCAAATTTTGTACTAACAAGTGGATGATATACTCTTGCAGTTAGTTTTTGATAAACGTTATGAAGAAATAAAGTGTTTTTGATTAGAACAGGCAGTTCAAGAAATAGTAAGAAGAGAGGCACAAGGATGCAAGTCGTAGAGAGCAAAAATAACAAATGTTTGTTTCGAAGTGCTGGAAAGGTGAACAAAATCTGTTCGGAATTGAGAAGACGAATTTTGTCCTGACTACAACTTGCATCCTCGTTCCTTTCTTCTCGGTATTCCTTGAACTTCCTGTTCTACTCAAAAACATTTTATTTCTTCTTAACGTTTATCATAAAACATTTTATTTTTAGTAGGGATAACTCTTCCCTAGAACGCTTATCCATCTTTGCCAAAAACCTGAAATTAGTCCGCTGCTCGTGATTCCTTTTATTCATTTCCCGCCCAAATCTTAACATGAACACATACAACTTCCTCCACTGCTCGGCAAGAATAACCTATCTGGTCTGCGTCACGAGAAAGTTCAAATATGTCCTGACATACCGGGCTACAAATATTTGCCTGACACATTTTCCCAGCGATACGTTGCCGTTATTCCGATAATTACCTTGTCATACACTGTATATCTGAAAAAAATTATGAAAGTATTTGAATGTTTTCACTATCGATTTACTATGAAATCATATCTTCCATGTATCCATCGAATGTTGCATTAATCTACCAATATCAGTCATCATCTATCACGGTTTATTAATATTTATTTATATATATATATATTTATCGATTTTTGTTTCTTTCTATTTATATATCTAAATATATCAGTCTCTTCTTATCTATTTTATTTTGTTATAATCTATATAACATGCCTTTATCGATCTGTCTATTTATCTCTGTCTCTTAACATCTGCTTTATCATTTATTCCTTCGCAACTTTTTCTATATACCTCTTTTCCTAGAGTCTTCTTCCTGCATGTGACGTGTCCCTTCAGAACGGGAAGGATCATGGCTCGCCACAAGTGCCTACTTTTGCGGCTTTAAATTGTTTTTCTCCTTACTCTACAGGCAAGTCCGTACTCTGAGGCACAATTTCGTTACGTAGATTACTCAATATTTCCTCTGCCCCTCTTGCCGTCAGTATGCTATATGACTGTCAAATTCTGTTTCCTCATTATGTACTCCAGAAATTTCAGCTGTCTCTTTTTGATTTTATGTACCAGTGTTCTTTCGTTCCCATTTTCCTTAAATCTTCCTCGGTACTCACATGTTCAGTCTATGATATTCTCAGCATTCTTCTGTAGAACTACATTTCTATTACTTCAAGCATTCTCTTCATCTGTGAAAAATCCTTATAAACTGTACCTCTTACCTCTTACTCTGTAACCATCTATCTCAAGTGGCTCTTGTGTCTTGTACAGGGTGAACATTATTAAAAAAAAGGAAAATTATCCAGCATTAACTTATATCTCCCCAGAGTAGTTTGTTAATAAATATCTGCTTGTCAATTCCTTCCTACTTTTTTTCCACTTTCTAACTATAGAATTAAATATCTATCTTTTTATCTCAGTCTGTTCATATCTATCTATCTATCTATCTATCTATCTATCTATCTATCTATTCAGCCTGTTCATATCTATCTATTTATCTATTTCAGTCTGTTCATGCCTGTCTATCTATCTATCTCTGTTCATATCTATCTATCTATCTATCTATCTATCTATCTATTCAGTCTGTTCAGAACTATCTATCTATCTATTTCAGTCTGTTCATGCCTGTCTGTCGTTCTATCTATTCAGTCTGTTCAGAACTACCTATCTATCTATCCATCTATCTATCTATCTATCTATCTATCTATCTATCTATCTATTCAGCCTGTTCATATCTTTCTATTTATTTATTTCAGTCTCTTCATGCCTGTCTATCTATCTATCTCTGTTCATATCTATCTATCTATCTATCTATTCAGTCTGTTCAGAACTATCTATCTATCTATCTATCTATTTCAGTCTGTTCATGCCTGTCTGTCGTTCTATCTATTCAGTCTGTTCAGAACTACCTATCTATCTATCTATCTATCTATCTATCTATCTATCTATCTATCTATCTATCTGCTTGTTTAGCTAGCTGCGCCGTTTTCTTTCAAGCTATTTATTGATCGGGGTAAATAGATTCCATTTTGGAAAGTATATGAAGACAAATTCTACTCTTCTCTCTCTCTCTCTCTCTAAATAAACAATACAAAAATATCCAGGCACAGCTGAAGATGCATAGAGCGACGCGCAATTTTAAACTTATGAGAAAATTAATGGGATATTCTTTTTAGTTCGTGACATGCATAAGAATGAAGTAAAAACAGCGACTACTCCGGAAACGGTGCAATGATATAAAAGAGTAACTCAAATTGTTTGAAAACTTTGAAATCGTCGAAGGCAAACAATATTAGCATGGAAACCCTGTTAATCCCCGTAATAAACGTCAGTTGAATAAAAATAAATAAAATAAATAAATAAAGCGACAGATAAAATAATTCCAGTTTTGATTGCCTCCCTTGAAGATGTTACCGGTACTAGCCGGAAACCGAATGAAGCGGACATTCCGAACAATGGCAATCCAATTGACGTTTATTACCAATTAAAAGATCGATCTTTTTTTCTATTTTGGTTTGTCACTGTTAGGAATAACTGTGAAAATAAAACACAATTAAAACTAACTATATGCCATATGTTTTTAACTTCATTGTTCTTGAGGAGGACATACAAAGAATTGTAACAACATGTAAAACTGGTTCAAAGGCCCTAGTTAACCATTTCCGTTCTGGTTTCTTTTAATGGTTATCTTCTCATCCTTTTAAAAGAAAGGCATGAAACATTTATTTCTAGTTCTATAATCTACAGAGTGATTTAAAAGTAACTCCCCATTTTAAAATATAATTTATTTATTAACTATTTTTACAAGAAATGGATATGAGAGTAAAGCGTTTAGTATGAGGTTTTATTTAAAATTCGATATGGCCACCAGATTTTGCTAACAACTTCTCAAGGCTCCCAAAAATCGCGTCAACTGATTTCCCCAGGAACTCTTGTGGTATGAAAGACATAACTTCTTGTATTCGTCCTTCAAGTTCTTTCAAAGTCTTGGTTTGGTATAATAGATTTTCTCTTTTAACCAAACCCAAAGTAAAAAGTCAAAGGGTGTTCAGGACTCCTAGCTGGCCACTCATACAGAAAATAGTGAGTTACTTTTCAATCACCCTGTAGATCACCATACAGCGTAATATCAGCATCTTTTTCTTTTTTGCGTATATAGTTATAATAACATTATAACTACATAGGTATTATTATAATATATAATATATTATAACATTATTATAATGTATGATATGTTACAATTATATATATATATATATATATATATATATATATATATATATATATATATTAACTGATTTAAAATATGGTTTCTACGCTACACAGGAATTACGATGTTTCAAAAATCGAAGCTAAAAACATCAAATTTAATTATATAATTAAATTAAAAGCATTACTTCCGTTTCATCTTCAAGCGAATTTTAGAATCTGTTGTGTAAAAATAAAAATATCAATTAAGAACACCGCATTATATATCTTACTGTTCTTTCTTTTTATTTTAATATATATATATATATGTGTGTGTGTATGTATGTGTACATATATATATATATATATATATATATATATATATATATATATATATATATATATATAATTACATTATTATGACATTATATGTTATAATAATATGTTATAATAATATTACAGCATTATTTGTAGGAAGGCTGCTCTCCCCATATATCTCACTTCGTTAGTTTATTCTTTGGTTGCATGGAATCGTGATTGCCTTAAAAATTATACTCTTTTTTTTTTTTTTTTTTTTTCACTTTTTAATCATTTCCCACTAAACAGGTTACATGGGCTTACTGTGGGTGAAGGAAACTCGGAAAACGTCATTGAGGAGAAAGAAAAAAACTGGATTCAAAGAGATGGAAGATGACGAGTGACGTTGCATTAAAAATTTTTGAAGATCTTAGCTGACAGGAAAGCAAGAAGACGGAAGACATAGACCAAAGATGAGAAATGCGAGAATAAGTAATTATTAGAAGAGAACTTACTGATACATCTCGCAATATCAGCTGCAAAATGATGTGACCTGGATGCCATGCTGGTGCTACACTTAAATTTAAAAAGTCGAGATACCAATGATGAGAGCACATCAGAACATTTGCCATCGAAGAATTTACAGACAAAAGAAAACCAAAGTGAGCGATTTCGGCATAATTTTACAGATTATTCAGAGTATTTTATTTACCTTCATTTTATCACATCGTTTTAAAAGATCCAGCCATTTTTTGTTCATGTTTCATTAGTAATTACTTTAGGCAACTATTTCAAGATAATAAAACAGAAAATAAGTAAGAGACGAATAAGTAACATAATCACAGACGATTTTTGCTCGGCTTAAAAAAAGAAACTTCAGTAAGCGAAATGGTGAAGGCTCTGCCTATGAAAGACAATCCTGTGGGATGTGAGTTCAAATTTAACTGGCAACTACTTCTTTATTTCCGATTGTACGCTGTCCGCTCTTGAAATCCATATATGTATTGGCTCAAAGTTTTGAGATAAAAAAAAACTTAAATGAAAAGTGATAACACTCTATATAAACACTGATAATGGATGTGTACGTAGATCGCGGTTATCGACGTGGCAATCGATATTGTCGTGCCGAGTTCAACTTCCAGAGGAGGCTGCTGCGTTCATTTTCGCACAAATATCCTTGGCAAATGTATGAGTCCATGTCTTGTCTAACCGACCAGCTATTGGTTAATAATAGAGTATTTAATTTCTTGGTTGGTCGCCAGTATAGATGAACGACAGCTCTACATCGCAAACCGGTTGAACGTAGGATTAGAAATTCTACCCGGTAAAACCTACTAAATATAGAAATCACGAAAGGAAAATCTAGCTTGGTGAGGCTGCGTCTTTATACTCATCAGGAAAGTCGACAGGGTTAACATAATAGTCTTTAAAATCAAATCGAATAAATCAGAAAATTTCAAAGAATCATATGTGAAATGACAATGCTCTATTTTGAGAATTTCAGATAACACTCCGAACGGTCAAAAATACATTGGCTCTAAATATTTGATAAAAACATTAATGAGGGTGATATTAGTTCAAAAACCTCTTTTAATAGTGACGCTACTTTGTCTGAAACTTCAAAAACCATTTCACAATAAAGTACTAACGGTCTTTTGTAACTTATTTTAACTGTTCAGAGTCATGGAGTGTTTGATTGGGATTTGTTTAAGGGCATATCAACACCTTATGGGTCATTCAATACCGAAATTTAATTTTCTTAGTAGCTTTAAAATAATAAAATATAATATACGTTATTCTGCTTTCACAATTGAATACATGGTAGATGATTGTGTTTTATGCCGTAGTTTTGTTGAAATTACATTTTGAAATACAAAGGATTTTTTAAGAAATTGTAGGATATTATATATGAAAGATTTCTTTTATGTTGGTTGTTTGATTTTGTTTGGTGGCATATGGGTTATTTAATGACGAAAGCTAAATATTTTGTACGTAATTTTATGCTTTCAGAGTAAATGTATGTTTTTTGATATTCATTTTGTAGATCATAAAATGTATTGTTAGTAATTTTACTATAAAATTTCTTCTTTTTTTTAGTGTTGCATTAATTATCATTTTACTATAAAAATATATTGGTGGTCATTTTATATTTGTTTAGGGTTCACCATTTGCCCTGAACTGAGACCCTAACCGGTGCTACCACCTCGGGTCAGTGTTGACTTGGGAACAACAGAAATTAAGAAGTGCTTCCACTCTCCTCAAATCTTCCGGATTAGAGGTGTTATTGCCGGATGTGGTTTATCATCATCCCCAAGACGGGAGTCATAAAGAAATCAGTGAAATTGTAAAACTAAATTGTTGTTATTGTTATGGCGTCCTCCCCTTTTTCATATAAGTGGACTCGACCAGAGTGTTACTGGGACTGCTGCCGTTAAATACCCAGAGTCAGTGAGAATATACAGAGAGTGAGAGAGTAAGCAGAGATTGTGATTGAGTTGGAGGTAGAGTAATAGTGTGAGGTAACCGCTTGTAGAAGTCGGTTACAAGCACGTAGACACTAAGGAAGTCCTACTTCAAAAATATATATATATATATATATATATATATATATATATATATATATATATATATATATATATATATATATATATATTAAGAAATGGACAAAGTCCGACAATTTATTTGTTAAAGACATTTTTTATGGTTGTATCTATAAAAAGCACGTTAAACATAAAAATGTCTTTAATATATATATATATATATATATATATATATATATATTATTATTATTATTATTATTATTATTATTATTATTACGACTAACCGCGTTCCTGGATTTACTAACAATATACCCATTGTATTATTGTGTAAATACATTTAATTTCTTATCTTTATTTCTTTCTTTGTCATTTATTGGGGACCGAATTTCATCTAGGAATCCACAACAGTTAGATAAAACTTTGCATGTTTACAGAAATATTTGGAAATCGAAAAGTTCAAAGAATACAGTATGTATGGTTGTAGGCAAGATAAAAATAACGGGATGCGAGCGACTGATTGAAAAATTGAAAATCAAGCAAGTCAAGAAGTTGAAATATCTGGTAAGAGTTTTCACAGAGAATGGAAAATGTGACACTGAAATCCGAAGACGTATTGGAGTAGCAAAAGATGATCTAAAAAGTAAAGAAAATATTTATTTAAAAAAAAGACAAGAGAAGAATACTGAACGGTCATGAAATATCAGTCCTCCCATATGGCAGTGAACAATGGATAATTTTCTCACAGATGATGCGAAGATTTGAGCCAACACAGATGCGGTAAACTTACGGCCACAACACGTTGAAACACCGATTCCCGTAGGATCATTGAAGTTAAGCACCGTTCAGCCTGGTCAGTACCTAGATGGGTGATTGTGAATACCAGGTGCCGTAAGCGTGGATGCCGGGTGGTGTTATTGATAATGGCTCTGAATTTTTAATCAGAGAGTCGACTTCTGAGAGACTTTCGATTCATTATATTCACTTACAAGCAAATACTCATGGGAAAGGTATGAATCTACCTCTTCTCCCCAGCTATGGGTTAAATAATAAGACCTGTATCACTAAGTCATTATTATCCCACCAAAAACCCTTACAATCTAAATCTAGCTTTAAATAACTTGCTATGGATTGATAAGCCGTAGAAAATGAATGAACGAATGAATCACCTGACGTGCTTTTGCTAAGAATATCATGGGCGGAGTATGAAACTAACGAAAGGTTTTTAAGAAAACAGAACCAAAAAATAGATTTATGCATAAAATTATATCATTTTGCGCCTAATGAGAAAAGAAAGCCTAGTAAATTTAAAACACACAGGACATATTGAAGGCAATATTGACAGAAGGGATCATTTAGTAACTGACCTAACGTTGTTTGGCGGTTGGATGTCAGAACGAGTAAAAGAGGGATAATAAAACAGAGATTCTAAGAGCTACGACTTATAAGAAGTTAGAGGGAGCCTTGATCGCCCAGGTCCTGAAGAAATTTCATATATAGAGAACAAAAACATTTTCAAACGTAATAGTGTAAATAAAGTGAGTGACTTCGGTTTATCGTTCTAATATTTCAGTAAATATTCAAATATTTCTTTATGCCTGTCTGCCCTACATACAAGCCGCCGAGCCACCGGCGGACATCTAGCCGTCCGCCAGTGGTAACATTGCCGAAAGGAACACGCCGGCGGACCGACATCTGTAAACGCGAGCTGCATGACATCCAGTGGCAGATTGATGGGTTGCGTGTAGGGTATATAAATACATATATATATATATATAGAGAGAGAGAGAGAGGGAGAGAGAAAGAGGGAGGGGGTGCGCGTGTGTGTTAACTATTGGTTCATCTGAATTTCTTCCTTTATAATTTATCTTTCAAGTATTTTTAATAACAATGAAAAAAAAACAGTATTTACATTGTTCGGACTATTGTCCTCATCTTTGTTGACATATTTATCACAACGTTTCGGCCGTCGTACGCTCCGGCCTTCTTCAGGTGGTTGGAATGTCGAACTGAATCCTTTCCTTCGCTTGCTGGCGTAGACTGTTCTAGTTCCACGTGCCGTGTCTAATGGATGTCAGTTATCAGTGATCTCCTGTTAATTCCCCTCTCCAAGTTCTCAACCGCCTTTACCAGGTATTGAACTCACACTCTTCGGGTCACTGGTAACTGGATCTAACTAATGCCTTTATACACTGTGCTATGTGTCCTCAAGGATTGATTGACATCCATTAGACATGGCACGTGGAACTAGAACAGTCTACCCCAGCGAGCGAAATAAATGGTTCAGTTCGACATTCCAACCACCTGAAGAAGTCCGGAGTGTACAACGGCGGAAACGTTGTGAGAAATATAGCAACAAAGATGAAGATGATAGTCCGAACAATGTAAATAGTGTACATAATACCTCATCTCATAAATATAGACAAATAATAAAAAAATATTCTTATATGTTTTATATTTTTATACTTTTAATATAGTCTTATTTAGTGTTTGGTTTCTAAAGGTACATTTAATGATGAAGTTTTTACTTCGACATTCCGTATAAAATATGTGTGTTCATGCGTATATGTTTCTATGTGCGTACTTCTGATGGTTTCTCCTTGTTATGGTGGAGGAGTTTGCGTGTGCAATGACTCTGAGGGCGTGGAATTAGCATTGGCGTATAAACTGGTGCAAAAAAAGATGATGCTCCTCCGGATTTTTGCCATGGAAATAAAGATATATAAAGCAATAGACTTGCGACTTTGTGTATGTTGGAAAGATACTGTTATAGTTGAACACACCTATTCTATAGTTAATAGACTCTCCCACCTATAATAAGTAGGAGTAGTATTAGCAGTCGTTCAGAGAGTTGGTCAGTCAGTGTTTGTGAGAATGCTTGAGGGTTTGAATGTGTCCTTATTTTCTTAGTCCCGCATCGATTTCGTCCGGTTAACTGATATTTCTGCCACATTCAAAGTTTGTGGGGGTTTTTAATACTAACACTAATTTTGTTTAGTTTATTATAAATATATTTCGTCATATTGTATAAACTCATTTGGGGATTTTTAGAAATTGTTATTTTATGACCCTCCCCCATGAACATTATCTGTATATAAAGGGGACTATTTAGGACTTCATAGAGAATTTGAGGTATTATGGTGGACGTAGTATGAAAGGTAGGAGTGAATGTGTTGTTTTGGTGATTGGAATATTGTTGGCATGTTTGGGTCAGTGTCTGCGACTAGCTAAGTTTTAGATTTAAGAGAGAAGACCGTCATTCCCCATCCCCCTTTTTAGGCCTCGTGCCACATTTTGTATTTTAATACAAATAAATATTGAGTTGGTCAGTCAGTCGACTGGCTGATTGGTTGAACTCTCTGCCTTCGGGCGGGGAGGAACCCGAAAGAGGCTACGCCGAAGGGCGGGTTCCCTTTCGGGGAGGTAAACCGACCCTGAACCCGTTTATACGGGTTCAATGGGCACATTTTTAAATATCGAGTTGGTCAGTCAGTCGATGTCGGACGACCGTTAGTCGGATACTAGAAGTATCAGCGACCACAACTAGATTTTCTCTGCGTCATTACCTATTATATCAAGTTCCTAAAGTTTTGTACGTCGAACCTATTTTAGGACCCACTTAGTACAAATACAAACCTCCACTGTGAAACTTCTCTACAACAGATACTGCAGAGCGGGGAATAAGTTTTCCGCCATAAAACCGCGTAAATTAATTTGAACGATATCGAGGCTCGAATGTGAGCATTGAGCAGCCCAGATATAGCTAGAATTATCTATTTTTGGTCTAATCTGACTCTTATACAGACAGAGAATCGTAGTTAAGTACTCTCTGGGGAGGATAAAATGAGTCGGCCATTTTCCAACATCTTTAGAAATGGATCGTATATTTGAGTTCCGCTTGAGGTCTGGAATGTAATTGAGTACAAACAAAGGTTCAGATCATGAAGGATAGTTGAAAATACGATCGTTTATTCGGACTGGCGAAAACTCAGAGTTTGAACGAAGATAACGAAACGATGCTGGATATATGTTTTTAGGTATTGAAAGAAACTAGTTTTTTTCTATTGCAATGAAGTCAGAATAGAGTCCAGGTGCGAGGATTCGATGACCTTGATTTTGTGAACTAGTTCCATAGAGTGTAACGTTCTGAGTAAGACGATAAACTGCATCCGACAGCAAGGCCTCTGATCATGTGGTTTTGAGGAGCGTGGAACCACCTCTTAACTGCTGCGGTTCTAAAGTCCAACTTGACCCGGAGTGGTATCACCTGTTAGGGTCCCAACTATCGGCAAATAGTTAACCCCAAACGGGGGTCAGAACGCTATGAAAGTGTAAAAATAGTTTTTAATACCAGCAATACATTTTTGTAAAAAATTATTACCAGCAATGAATTTTGAAGAAAAAGTTATCACCAGCAACACATTATTACCAGCAATACATTTTTGTAGAAAGATATTACCAGCAATGAATTTTGAAGAAAAAATTATTACCAGCAACACATTATAATCGGTAATACATTTTTGTAAAACATATTACCAGCAATGAATTTTGAAGAAAAAGTTATTACCAGCAACACATTATTACCAGCAATACACTTTTATAAAAAGATATTAACAGCAATGAATTTTGAAGAAAAAATTATTACCAGCAAAACATTATTACCTGCAATACATTTTTGAAAAGTATTGCCAGCAATAAAAAAACTTGTCGGCATTAAATAACTAATTGAAGTTGATATGCCGTAAAACAAAATAAAACAAAACAAAACAAAACAAAAATTAGACTGTAGTAACATCTGCATGAGTATTACTGATTAGCAAATTCTAAATTTGAAGTTATTTCTCACTTAAAATTTAAATAGGCTTTTCTATTGACGCAAAAGCAACTATTTAGAATTTGAAAAGAAATTTCTTTTCCGTTTTTACCTGCATTATCCTAAATGTCATTTGTAAATCTAAGAAACCGACGCGAAAAAAATTAATTAAAGTAGTTCTTCGACATTGGCGGAAAAATCAAAATAAATGAGAAAGAACTTATTATTTCTTAAATGTTCCAGTGCCCGCCAAAATAATTTATTAACTTTTAATTGGGAAGAAACATCCTGTCGGTCTTAAGAGTGGCACTTTCAAATAATTAAAAACTTCTGCATGAGAACTTGATGGAGAAGAATAATTGTACCAAATACTTCTATGGTCACAGAAAAGAGTCAAGAAAGAGCACCTGTTATCAGAGAAAGCGAGGTTGATCAGTGCTGTTGTAATACGCTGTTTACTACAGTATTTAAGGTTTACTATATTTTCTTATGTGATATTCCCAAGAATTTGAGTCATCAGGCTTCTAATGAAACTGAGTAAAGCACCCACCTAGATTGAAGTGAATAAAAACAAATATATAAATAATAACATTTCTTGAGTAAACGGGTGCACACATTCGGGAAATAGAATTCTTATGGCTGAATGCCAAAATCGACAGTTGGGGAAAAAATGTCGGCGGAAATGCTATAATATCAATGTGAATATTTTTGCTGGAAAATGTAAAAATAAATGAAAGCAATGTGTCCATTGCCTATTTACAAAATGTAAAACTGTTTACAAGCCTTAATATCTTAAAAAGCTTTTAATGATTTTAATTTTGTAATAAATATTTTTAATAAATATCTTTAATAAATAAGTGTAATTTTTTCTGTCTATATCTCTAAGATGAAGCATTATGATTATTTACATTATTTGGACTGTTATCTTCATCTTCATTGTCACGTATTGATCCTTCAATATCTGTCTATATCTCTGAGATGAGGTATCATGATTACTTACATTATTTACATTATTCGGACTGTTATCCTCATCTTCATTGCCCGTATCGATCCTTCAATATCTGTCTATATCTCTGAGATGAGGTATTATGATTACTTATATTCATTGCCATATTCACAACTTTTTCACCGTTGTAGGCTCCGGCGTGCTTCAGATGATTGAAATTTCGAATCCAACCTTTTATGTCGTTCACCGGCGTAGTTTGTTCTAGTTACACGTGCCATGCCTCTTCTTGATATCTCAGTTGCGAGAAGTTATCCATTACGCCGTCCGCAGATGCATGTTTACAGCACCAGGTTCTTCCAAGCAGTCAGCCATCTATGTACTGACCAGGCTCGACGTTGCTTAACCTCAGTGATCGTACAGGAATCGGTTTTCAACGTGATGTGGCCATAAATGTTAAGAAAGAGAAAACACAATACATATTAGGTTGATGCAAATGTTTTCAGAATTTTTCTTTTGAAATATTTTCCCTACACTAGAAGAGACAACTCAACACCGCCGAGTCAACACTGCCGACTCAATATCACCGACTCAACACTACCGACTCAATACTGCCTACTGAGAGCCGGAAAATTCGGAACTGAGACAATTCAGGACAATTCAGGACCAAAACAACTCAGCACCAGAAAAATCAACTTTTTTACAACTGAATAAAAGTAATATTTTAAGGATTAAAATCTTAATTAGTGAATATTTTGAATTATTTTATTTTAATGAAGTTAATCCTAAAGAAATTTATTTTTTAATAAAACAAAAATATTCACGAATTAACTTAATTAATTCTTAATAAATTATTTTTATTCTGTTAAAAAAATGTTTTTTTTTAACTGAGTTGATGAGTTGGCGATATTGAATTTTCTTGCACGCCATTATTCAATTTTCAAAGTATTTTTGTTGACTTTCTGCCCTTAAAACGGATTTTTTTTGTATATTGTGTATACAAATAATAAAGAACGATTCCGATTTTGATTGTTAGAAAATATTTTTATATGTCTATTCTTTCGACATCGCTGACCAAACAGGAACTCTTGCATAGAAGGAAATAACTGTTAATCTTAAGAGCCTGGTTCTGCAAAACTTCCAAGTAAGATTGTAGTGATTTTCTAAGCGCAGCTTTGATGTGGCACAAAGCCGAAAATATAGAGCAGTGATGATCGAACTCATTACTCAGTCGTAAATGATCTAGCAAGACAAGCTTCCTAATCATTACACCAAGTCGAGGTGTGCCCCTTCCAAGTAATGTTATATGATCGCTTGCTATGTCGCATTTGCAACGTAACGACTGGCGAAATTTGATACCCATGAAAATGTTTAACTTTTTCTACGCCTCATTCCAATGAACCAAGTGTTTATTGTAGGATTAAAGAGTAGCTGTTTATCCAGGTTCTAGCATTTCATAAGAATGTATTGTATTTGAATCTTTCAAAACACAGAATTTCTTTTCACAAGGTTCTAACCAATTTCAAATCTTGAAGGATTTTTGGAATATATCTATAATTTTTCTTTTGTGCTCAACTATTATCATAAATCCATTTTTTATTTCCAGCTAACATCTTTTCTAAAAACGAATTATTTCTGTGTCAATAAAGAAAGAAAATACTTTCTCCGTAAAATATCGAGAAACTAATTTTGAGAAATAGGAAATTAGAAATCGCTGTATAACAACTTTTCCCCCAAGCAATAAAGTATTGAATAAACTGGAAACGAACTACTTGCCCATCATTGTACAAAACTTATATAGCCATCATTGTATAAATTATTATGCTTTATGTTGGAAACATTTACATGAAGACATTACACGTATGCACGTCCCCCTCCTCACATACACCTGCATGATTGCATTCCCACCCCATAATTGAACATGGATAACTTAGTGTTGCAATTAAATATGGATTTTTGGTCCAGCCAGAGTTTCACATCATTTTCCACAAGTCTTACTTGCATGGGTTTTATTTGTATCAACAGCAGTCATTGATCTGAAACAATTCCAGAGCATTGTTTGATTGATTGATTCGTTCTTATCAACCCTTTGTAGGTTATTTAAAGCCAGAAAATGTCTTAGATTGTACGATGCTCTTTAGATAATAATAGTTTTGTAATACAATAAATTACTAATTAATAATTTGTGCATCTTACTAATTAATCCATAGCTGGGGAGAAGGTGTAAATTTCTACCTTTCGTAAAAGTATTTGCGTGTAAGTGAATATAATGGACCCAGCTGTAATTAGAACTCGGTTCTTCGTTTAACAATTCCGAGCCATTATCCGTTACACCACCTGGTATTCACAAGTGGGCACCCATCTACTGACCACGCTTGACGTTGTTTAACTTCGGTCATCGTACGAGAACCGGTGTTTCAACATGATGTGGCCGTAAGCCTGCCAGAGCTTTGTCATCTGTATCAATAATAATGGTAGATTTCATTGATTTTGTGGTCCCTTTATGTTAAGGTTAACCTTTGCATCGCCAATGAAAATCTTCATAGTAATCGAGCAAGGTTTATGCATGACATTTTTATATGGGAAAAGACAGTAGACTGGGTTAAACTAATCTCTGATCATCAAAAGCAATAATTCGAAACGATAAAAATCATCGCTTGCCAGTGAGCCGTGGGTGTTACACCAGAACATTTATTTTCTTCGTTTGAATAGCTTTAACTAAAGCTAAACAGACCAAACAGACTCAATGGGCTGTGTGTTTGACGACTGTTTGTGTCCGGAAGAATTTTTATCCGTTCTTTGACAGTTCATTTTTTAATCCTGCTAACTATCTAAACACTCTCCTCAAGAGAGAAGAAATCTGCTTGAATCAGTTTAGTCGGTGATAACCCGATCATGCGACAGATACTAATTGGCTACATGGTGTCAGAAACCCTTCTTGAGGGATTTAACATAAATGATGATGATAATAAAGGCCGGCTACGTGTGTCCTGTCTGCCAGGTTTGCTAACAAACCCAGGTTGCAAAAAGAAAAAAAAAGCCCACACGTGATTTATACTGCGACTATGCTGAGTGGATCTTAGTTTATCGGAAATAGTGCCTCATCAGGCGCAATCAAAAGTTTAGAGAAGAGCTTCAGACTTCTGAATAGGCATGATCATCAAGCGCCAACGAACGGTTTCGTTCAACCATCTTCACTCGTTGTAGACGATGTAATGTTTTCAGATACTGTTTCAAACACTTTCTTCAGGCCAATAACACCAAGACGTCGCCACCCTGACAAATCGATCATAGTGGGATTCGAAATTGATATTTATGGTACTAAAGTAAACGTTCTAACCACTTAGCTAGAATAAGAAAAAAACTACATTAAAAAAAGTCTACACCAAAGAAAAAATAATTGAAATTAATTACAATTTAACTTCTATAACGCTATAGATTTAAAGTATAAACAAAAATCACTTACTTGGCTTTTTATAATGATTACTTCAATGGTTTTAACTTTTTTCGGCACTTAATGTGTGTTCCGTTTTGTCTTGTTAATATATATTTTCTGAGGATACTTGAAGAAAGAAAGAAAGACAATTAGAAAGAACGAAAAATAGAAAGAAAGAAAGAAAGAAAGAAAAATAGAAAGAAAGAAAGAAAAAGAAAGAAAGAAAGAATGAAAGAAAATAGAAAGAAAGAAAGAAAGAAAAGCAGAAAGAAAAAAAAGAAAGGAAGAAAGAAAGAAAGAAAGAAAGACAGAAAGAAAGGTAGGTAAGTAGGTCAGTATAAGAGAAAAGAATGATAGACAATTCCTCCTACTTACTAAATAGATGTCGTATTAACATTAAAATTTTATCTTTAAAATAATTTTATTTGTTTTCTTATAACAACACACCAATATAAATTACCCGGATAGCGAATCCACCAAACATATCCAGGGTGGGTGCAATGGATACGATGCATGTGAAGGTAATTTTATTTTTTTCAAATTCCGTTTTATATTTACTTTATCCACACCTACACATACATACACACACGCGTGTGTGTGTGTGTGTGTGTGTGTGTGTGTGTGTGTGTGTGTGTGTGTGTGTGTGTGTGAATTATCTTCGGATGGAGTGTATCTGTAAAGGTACAAAATGAATAAAAAAAAGAGGAAAAACTATTCTTGGCTGACGCGTTTCATCCTCTAAAAGACTTTATCAAGGCAACTGTAAAACTTATTCAGTTTCACGTGGTTATATAAAAATTTTTTTATATATATATATATATATATATATATATATATATATATATATATATGTTAGTGATTATTCATAATATCCAACGTCGATAATACGTGTTATCGACGTTGGATATTATTTATATCAATATTATATACTTATAGCTCTGTTTCATAATATTGAGCACTATATTTATAACAACTGATGAATAAATATACTTACGTACATGCAAGTATTTGTGCGTATATATATATATATATATATATATATATATATATATTTTATCCTACCTATTCAGATAGATAGATAGATAGATAGATAGATAGATAGATAGATAGATAGATAGATAGATAGACATGGGGAAGAATGGTAAGTAGGTAGTAACTTTTATTTTCATTTGTTTTCGGAAATGAAGCCTAGAAATGTTTGCTTTCAGCAAATGGAAACTTTTAAAAGAACGTTGTTTTAGTGATGTGTTTATTGAATGACATATTGTAGAGAAAGATGACTTTTCAGTATTCACTGAGTACAAATAATCGCATCAAAAATCGTTAAAAACAAAAGCTTCGTAGCCGAATGTTCACTATGCATGTAAATGGCTACACTTTATGGCATGTGCCTCCATTTCATATTTTACTCTGCCTTTTATAACGATTACTTGATTTTAACTATTTTTTAATATAAAACTGCGATTATAACTCACATGATGGAATATATTTAGGCTGTTTCATTCATAAAGTCTATTTTATTTTCATAGCTATCTATCTATCAATTTACATACATACATACATACCTATATATATATATATATATATATATATAAAGTGAACATAGAAGTCAACACTCAGAGGCGACAGGCTGTTTCATGATAGATGCAATCGTCAGGCCACGTTGCGTCTCATGAATGAAACAACCTGTCGCCTCTAATGTTCAATTTTATTTTTATTTACACACGCTCTATCTCTGATATTGAGCACTTTATCCCATAAAAATATAGCACACTTTAAGACTATATTTCTTCATATATATATATATATATAAGTGAACATTGAAGACAACACTCAGGAGTGACAGGCTGTTTCATGATAGGCGCAATCGTCAGGCCGTCTGACGATTGCATCCAGGATGAAACAGCCTGTCGCCCCTGAGTGTTGGCTTCAATGTTCACTTTTATATTTATATTTACATACGCTCTATCTCTGATATATGGCATTTATCCCATAAATATAGCACACCTTAAAACTATATTTCTTTATATATATATGTGTGTGTGTGTGTGTGTGTGTGTGTGTGTGTGTGTGTGTGTGTGTGTGTGTTTTGTATGTTGTGTGGTGAGTCTGAACCTACTTTCATTAGGAGACTTCGGCGTGGTTTAATGGTTAGCAGGTTTGTTTTTCTGGATCAATTACGACTAATTTTCAAACAGTTATAAACAGATTAAGAAAGAAAGAAAGAAAGAAAGAAAGAAAGAAAAAAGAAAGAAAGAAAGAAAATTTATACCCAAAGGAAAAAAAAAGGTTTATAAGACAATTCAATCGTTTACTAAAGTTTTTCGAACTAAGTTTTCAACATTTTACCTTTAAAATAATGTTATTTGTGTTCGAATAAGGTTTTTTGGTGACAATATAAATACATAGATTTTCCTCCACCAAACATATAGAGCTGGGGGAAAAGAAACATAGCAGATCTACAATCTTTTGTTAATATAACCAGTTCACTGAAACAGAATTTTTTTTTGTGATATATTCTGGTAGAAAATCGCCGACCTAAATGGCTGTTTTTACTTTGATTAACAAGTTTCATCCAGAATTTTAAACACCTGACACTGCATGAAAGTGCTTATCCCTAGCATTGCAACAAAGTGTCCAGTCCCTTGAACTAAAACAACAGAAAACATCATCATATATATTTTAGGGACCTCCTGTTTTAATGTTGATACAAAACCATCAGCGATCATCATTCCAACCTTTGATGTCCCAAATCTTCTGATTCAACATTGATGTGGAAGAAAATATTGTATATTAATTTTAACCATATACTTGTACTTTTACCATTATTTCTTTCAATAAAATATATTTTGGCAAAATTAAACCAATAATTAATATGGTTTATTAACCATTTTAAATAGGGTATTTCTTTCCATCAACTCTATACGTTAAATACATGTTTATAACGTGTGAAGGCGAAGTGAATTTGAGCGTAACTCAATGTTTTGTTAAATATTCGACAAAAGTATTTTGTTCTTTTTCTAATCAGTGAAATGCTTTTCAAACAAAACATTGACGAATTCCTCCGACAAATAAAATTAAACCAGCAAACTCTTTAAACTTTATAACGGAAGACAAATGAATCTTGGGATAATAACCGGCAAATTAAATCTGTTGGACTATTTCCCGTATTGTACAAAAGTTAATGAAATCTGTCTCAAATCAACGCTAACGCCTTTGTCTTCCCCCATGTTGTTAAATTATAGAACAATGGTGACAATTTTCTTATTAATGTTCTTTTAATCTGAAATTATAACAATATTTACTGAAAAATATCTAAAAGAATATTACCGAAAAATAATTACAATTACTTATGACATCGACGAATCAATAAATTTTAAACGATATTTTCCACTGTACGAATATTTTTTTTTTTTTATTTTGCAAATTCAAAACAAATTTTCAATTTAACTATTTGAACAAAAATTGCAAGTTTTATATTAATAATTTTACTTATTTTATTAAAAAAATGGCATTATATGGGCATTAGAGCCACTGAGAACTGGTTTGAAAAATTAAAAATTGATGGGTTTAGAATTAATTTCGTCGTTGAAGAACAGATATATATATATAGAAATATATATGGATATATAGGTAGACTTTTAGGATGAGATTATAATGATTACATACTATTGACGGAAATCTGTGAAAAAGAAGTATGGTTGTTTTGATGTAGCTGTTCAAATGTAAATTCTTCCTTACCAATGCTATACAAAAGTTGAAAATTTAGTGGTCATATATCTTTTTGACATGGTTCGTCTTTAGCAGTAAATGTCTTCAACCAAGTGAAATTAATAGAGGTGATGGCTCAAATATTGTCATAGAAATAGCAACGGTCCCTTGACTTCCAACTTACATAAGAGTTTCATGTGTGCCTTCAAAGGGGATGTTTTGGGGAAATAATTGAAATATTCTTTCCAAGGCTCGAAAATAATCACCTTTTTAGATATCACCCTCAACCT